GAATAGAAAATTTAAAAATTTTCCGGGTGGAAAATTATACCAATCAAACACACTTGAAATCATTTTTCCTGCAAAATATTTTCTAGGCAAATCTTTTCCCTGTAAAACATCTTCTTTCCACAAATTTTCCATCCTTGCAATCAAACGCACCCTTATATCTCTCTTTATATTAAATCTCACATGCGAAGTGCAGTGCAACGTAGATATAAGATCAATTTTTATATTACGAGAGAATTTGAATCGAGCAAGATTAAACTACCTCTTAATTTTTGGTAAATGACAAAATTATCAAATTGTCTAACTTGAATGACATCCAGAGAATGAGAGACGGAAATCTCCCACGACTTTTTCTTTTCCCAATCAAACATATGATTGAAATATGCTTCAATCCTCTCCTCACATTGTGTGATGTGACACAGGCGCATACTAGGTAAACATGTTTACAAAATATTGATGGTTGATTTTTTATTCATTTTTTCTAAAATTGACTCAAGTGTACGGATTATTATTAAGCAATAAAAAATCAAAATATCTTCTATTTTCCTTTTTTTTTTTTCTTTTTATCGAAACTTTCCTTCTTTGGAAATAGTTTCAAGATGCACTGAAATGTATATAGCTTCCAAGCCATGGGAGGAATTTCTTCATAGCTTTCTTGTTGTGTTGGCATATCGACTTGCGGGAGCGAAACCGAGCTCGAGATTGCTGGGATGTTTGTTCTTGTCTTGTCCAAGTTTAGAGAGAAAGTTGACGTAAACAAAGGGAAGAAATCAAGAAGTAAAAGCATTGACGCTGATCAAACATTTTACGATTAATTTGAAAGATACGATGCTTACAGCTAAATAACGAGAATAACCTATATCCATACAATCATGGGCGAACAGTTAATGAACTACTCATCCAAGATTAGGCACCTACAAAGAAGATAATTCAGAATCTTCGATAATCTGTTCAATAAGATAGGTCATAGAATCGATTTGATACTGTTTAATGACAAGTACACCCAATATTGAAACTCAAATGTAAACCTTCATATCAGAGACATGAAGTCACCAACTCTGTTACCTACCTTCTCTGAGCCGTCCTCGCCGCCTTCCAACCAACAATCTTGCACGGGATCGGGAAACATTATTTCCAATTCGTCTAGATGAAACAGAAGCACCAGCTTGTTGCATGGCAAAATCTTCATCATCTAGTAAATCATAATCATCCTGGAAAAAATCAGAAGAGAATTGAGAGCTATTCCAGCGTCCACCATATGAACCCATCCGTCCCATCCTGAAAAGCGCATCATCCAAATAATGATCAACATCAAAACCCCGAGAAAAGCCACGATAGTTATTCTCTATTACATAATCCCCTACTACAATAGCACCAGGCGTGGTAGATCTGATCGTGCTAAACACGTCACTTAGATCTCGCTCATTTTCAAGTTTTTTCCACTTTTCCACATTTGAAGGATCCATTTCTCGAGGACGTGCCAGCGGATGCTCCAACTTCACATGCTTCCTTAGCTCTTTATAGGTTCCAACAAATGAGCAATTATTCTGCATGCAACTTCGCTTCTTTGCATTAAGGAACTTTCGAGCAGGTTCCACCACGGTCCAACCTTTCACCTGCCCACGGCAAAGCGGGCACAAGAGCTCCGATGTTTCCACCTTTCTATCAGGCCAACCAGATGTTGCCGATAAGTCTGGATCGTCTGTTGACCATTGCCATGGTTGTGCACTTTGGGTTGGAGCAGCCCTAGTGTAGGCCTTCCGGTACTGCTCAAGACAATTGGAATACCGCTGGCTAGTAGCACACATATAAGGACGGCAACCCTTATCATAAGAGGAACAAAGCAAGAGGACAGCATTGTGAGGAAACTCCATGCACACCGAGCAAACTGCATCTTCCCAGTCTTTCTTCTCCGATGCTTTTAAACATCTTTTGCTATGGTGGGCATCTTCACAAAACCTTGTACACCGAGAGGAAAACCTACGCAGGCTAACCCCATGCTTTCGAGAATCAGATTTTTGTTGCTGCTTGTTGGATTTTGCCATCTTTAAGCTAATCCTGAATGAAAGAACAAACCACACCCGCCAAAATAAAAGGAAAACATGAAAAAAGAATATCAATATAAAAAAATATGCATCTCAAAAGGGAATTTATGAAAGGTCTGTGAATTTATCAACTGAAATTTTCACAATTAACTTCTCATAAGTCGCTTTTGTTGATTTGTTATTTTGTCCCCATTGTTTTCTATTCAGAAGCCTAAATATAAAAAATATATCTTGGATCAGGCAGTGGATTGAATATTATCAAACTTCACAAAAATTCATCTGCAATTATCTTCGATTAATTCACGATTCTATTTCTCCTTTTGTTTTCCGTTCTTATCATTCTCACCTCCCTCATTCTCTGAGCCTCCTTTTAATCAATATATTTTTCATGTAGACATAAAAATTGGAGACAAGTAGACAACCTTTAGCACGTAATTTGATCCTACAAGCATCATCTTGCAGCAAATTGTTACGCATGTAATAGCATCATTAACACCACTCCAAGTATTCATTCCAATTACTAGAATTTTATTTTTGGCTATGTTCATAAACAATTAAACAAGTTCTCTAGAACCAATATTGTCCTAGTGATATCTAAATTAACACCGACAATGTCCATATTGTCTTGGAAAGCACCCAAACATGCGTATCTTTATATCAATACAACAACGTTAACTAAAAATTTTGTTGCAAGGATACTTCAACTAAGGTGGTGTGTTTGTGCCAGACACGTGTTGAATACCGACACTTCTTGAATACTCGATTATGGTCATTTTTCTTTTTTACTATAAATATTATATATTTTTAACTCAATGTCATAATAAATAACAAATATGTATTCATATTTAAAAGATTTCACCAAGAAAAAATAATAATTATAAAATTAAATTATTCTATATAAATGAAGAATTTTATAAAATTTAATCATCGGTAATTATTTGAAAAATCGAGTGTCGGCGTATCTAACTCAATACGGTGCATCATAGACTAAAACACCATGAAAGTGGTAATGAGCCCGTATTGGGTGAAATTGGGTATAGAAAGATAATCTGCTATAATTAATTCCATGATCAAATGTTAAAGAGGAAGCATTCTCTTATAACTTTGAGGACTTTCTCAACATAAGAAACAGCAAGAGCCAATATGCAATTAACGAAATAGCGGCCTGCTTTATTTCTCTTAATACCATCTTAATTTTCATTTGAGATTGGAGTGCTGCATGAAAATTAACTATAAACATATTGATAATTTATTACTCCAAAGTCCAAACCTTAAAAGTAACTCAACCTATTAACTCCTAGTAATCCAAACCTCCATCATATGACAATTACAAATAAACAACCATCTTTGACTCCTCTAGTTTCTTGAACTACACTAAGTTTTTCTTGTCAGCGTTATTGCATAATTCAAACCTACGCAAATATTTTACACCCCAATCATAGACCAGCATATTTTCCTGAAACAAATATATGAAGCCACTACAAGAGCTGTCAATGGAGGAAATACATATTTTCAAAACGAAAGCAGCCACTTCACTAGTGTATACTATAAGTAACATTTATATAATTGTGCCTTAAATCATTATATAAATTCTACCATTCGGGTACTGGAAAATCTGATATATTAAAATATCACTTAAGCAGGAAGCAACAACATTATAACAGTGCACATAATTCTCTTTTAAATGTGCATTATGACAATAAAATGAGACATTTTAATCTAATATTTAAAGAGCCACGGTTACTCCAGTGAGTTCAAAATGCAATTCAATCTCCAAGGCAGATGTCAATGATAAAAAACTCAACAACTTATATTATTTGTAAGCCATCAAACTTCAAACTTAATGGATCAGACTAAAGTAAGGTTCTACCATGATTCTCACTGCAATTAAGATTTCACTGATCTTTTAAAGCTATGTCAGCAAAGAGGAAAGAAGAAAATTAAATATTTTTATATTTGTGTCTTTTATAAGTAAAGTTGTTAGATCTAGACTTCCTCCGAGAAAACATTGCTTCGCAGATATGTAGGCTAACTTGCTCATAGTTGCACAAGTGCGTGAATGAAAACCCGACGATTAATCACACATTCAGTCATCAATAAGTGCCCATATTCACGCACTCACAAATCTAAAATTGCACTAAGCATATTTCCAAATTTCTAATGCAGCCAATCACATCAAAAAAGTTTATTTATTTTAATTTTATTTGACTTGAACTCCAATTCGTAGCAAACATTCAGTACAACGTTCTGAAACCTAATCTGTCAGAATGTGAAAACAAACATAATGTAGCATAATTCAAGCATCTAATTTCTCTGAACAATCCAAACAAAACGAAGTACTTCCAGTAAGGCACCGGATACCAGTACCACACACCAGCCCATATCATTAAAATTCAAAATCAATCAATAGAAGAACTAGAAAATTACATCCTCAAAAACCCACCAAACGTAAATTGTTCAAAAATTAAACTAAACCGATCTGAATTCCGTCCTTTTGTTTCACGTTACTAACACACAAATAAATATAAAATTAAAATTCTTCGAATAAAATTAAGATCGGCATCGAGAATACCTGAAAATTAATAAATTGAGATGAATTTGCTTGGAGAGATAAAAGAAAAGAAAAGGGTAGAGGAATTTAAAGAGATGCTCTTTAACTGGTGCACGTCTGTCAAAGCGTGCTATCTATTTGATTAGGTTCTGTGCCCGGCCCGGCCCGGCCCGGCCCATTAAGCATGAAGCCATTTTTACCACATTGTGATGCAATTTCTATGTCGTCATATGTTCTTCTATATCGACATTAAAATCTAACACGACTCCATATAAATTAGGGAGTTGAGATCAACGGTCAAAATATTATCTAGATTACCAAATTGTACAAGTCCAAAATTTTCACGTAGCTCAAACCGCATTCAACTTATATATAGACTCTAAACCAAATATGCGTCGAGTACAAATTACCATCAAATACACTTGTATAGCGCAAGAAATAGCCCAATGGAGGATCATTAGTTTATAAAGCGTATTTTATTACCTCACAAGATCTTCCAAAAGTTCGATGATCTTTGCGTCATAACCTCAAAAACTAAAAATTTAGCATAGTAAATCAATGAACAGAATGTAACATGAAATTTTTTGTTAAGGGATAAATTTCATACCGAAATGAAATATATAACCAATATATAAAGACAGAGACTACTATTAACAAGATACTGGTAGCACATACAACAATTGTAATATGGATTTTGTCCTACAATTGCAGAAATCAAATTAGGAATAGACTTCTCCTTTTTCATTGTGGGATTGGGGGTATAGACAGGTGTAGGAAAGCACATAAAATTACAATACACGACACTTTTACATTCGCTTGGATGAAGAAACAAGATATATACAACTAATATTTGTGGATTGCAGGACACAAGTCAGCCGTGGAAAAGAAATTGCACGATTGCACACCCTAGATAACAAGAAAATAACTACGCTAACTGTTTGGGAAGGAAAAATTTCTTCCACAAGCAGCGAATAAACAATTCAAAAAGAACCTTCCCCGAGCCGGTCAAGAAACTCCTCTACGAATGGATAAAACAATTCCTGTATGCACATTAATAATCTGGAAACCCCCAGACTGTAGATGGTCCACTAGGAAGATCATAGCTGCACTCGGAAGGATAGTGTCAAAGAGCATTTGTCACTGAGTAGAGAGTACATGACACACCGTCTGGGGAGAATAATGCTATCTATCATCGATAAGGAGAAGCAAAGCCCGATGATGCTGGAAGTGGTCGCTTCACAAAGGGATGATCCAAGAGCTGAGAGGCCGTTGGGCGTGCACTTGCATCAATTTGTAGACATTCAAGGATAAAATTGCGTGCATCGCTGGAAAGAGAATCTGGAATTGGTGGTAGTTCGCCCCTTCCTATCCTATATAGTGCCGACATCTGTTGATCAGAGAGAATGTACTGTCATGCTCCAAAACAACAACGTACAGTTACCTACCTACCTGAGTAATCTAATATCCACCTGACAGAATTCAATGAATTGATATCATTTGTATAAATTGTTTCAAAGTTTTACGTTGCCTCAGGAATAACACCAGATAAAACATACTCATCAGGAGATATCTTCATATTTCTGTCATCTATTTCATTGATAATGGTTTCTATCTTTCAAAATTACAGTATATTTAGCCTCTGTTTGGGCAAAATTTATAAATCATTTATAAAAGATCAAACATCATTCTCAACCATACATTCCAACTACTATCCACCACTCATTTCTATCTATTTATAAACTAAACCATTTATAAATTCTTCCCAAATGGAGGCTTTATATCTTGACAATGAAAATAGTCAAAGAGCTTCTAGTGAGAATGAACAAAGACTAGAGGAATGTAGGTATTTCCATTAGTTTATTATGATTGAGAGTTATACACGCGCAATGTGAGTGTATCCTATATATGATCTCAGAATCTTTTAGTGGTCCAAATTTAAAATGCAATTGTTTAAGAAAAATCCAAAATTTCTTTAGACAAATAAAGATGACAAAGAAGTATCTATGAGCATATCTAGTTTACAGGAAATCCAGAATAAACTGCATCACTTACAGGTTCCATACTGGAGTATGGAAAATGTCGGGATAGCATCTCCAAGACAGTGCACCCAAGGCTCCATATATCTGCTGCTAGCCCATATCCCAGGCTCTTAACCACCTACAGCAACATAGATTGATAGTGAGCAATACTTAGTAGGAAAATTATCTCAAATTAAATCAACTCTCCCTTTGGCCTTGACACACTACAAGGAGAAAGGAAAGAATTGTATACATGACATGTTAGTATCATGCAAATACTTGCCTCAGGCTCAGGATAAGTGTGTAATCTCAACAAATTGAAAATTTTAATACCTTGAAAATATAATAAATTTAGATGTATGAAAATGGTTTGAAATATAGAGCTGCAATTATTCCAAACCCTATTGTGCTTATTCAGACCCCTTATTTTTAAACTGCCAGGATTACCCCTTGGTTTTGCACAGTGAACCAAATAGGTTCCATAATTGACCGACACTTCCAAATGGGCATTATGACACAAAATCGCACATGCACTGGGAATATTAAAGGTTACAACGAATGCTGTACCAACAGAATGCAACAAATTGTTCCAATATTCGCGCAGAACTCCAGTTATAATAAAAAATTATACATAATGTCGCCTCCACATCGCATGTCCTTTCTTCGTATGGAATTGGGGCTATTTCAGACAGATGTTAAAAACTCTTAAAACTACAATTGAAATTCACAAACAAAGGTTTACCAAATACTCAGTTAAGGAATTTTCAACCTTTTAATCTCAATATCCTTCTCCCTTATTTCCGAAGTGCTGTCTAGTTAAAGACTCCTAATGCATTTTTCTATTTCCATTCACCCTTTAAAATAATGTCATTCATCCCTAATGATGATCATTACCATTCTAGGTAGCAGTGGATTCCTTGATTCATTGTCAAATGCATTAAAATGCATCAGAATTCTACTGGACAATGAATTAGGGGCCACTGCCACCTAGATTGGTGATGTTCAACAATAGCATTACTCTTAACCATTTGGACACTAACATATTACCTTGTAAAGCAACTTCTACCGTGGGAAAATCAACCACCAGTACTGGAATAGAAAAAGGAAAAGAAAAGAAAAGAGAGAAGAAAGGCTAGTCCCAGGATAAGATGATGAGTCACGCCTTAAGATAAATAAGTAAAGGAGACACTATTCCTAGCACGACACGTGGCTCAAATTTAATAAAATCCATGTGCATACATCAACCTCCATTCAAAATTAGGGAAGCAAGTTGTCGCAACGTTCACATCACCTTCTTTCCTCTGAACAATAAAAGGGAACGGCTAATATGCACGAAGTTATGGGAACAATTTTCACAATCCTAATATATATTGATCATAACTGTAATTAGACTTGTCGTGCTACATAAATGTTAAGAAAAGAGGGTAAAGGCAAACCTCAGGAGCCATCCAGAATGGAGTCCCCTTGCAAGACTTTACATCATTCAACTTAATGGCCTGCACAATGAATCAACTAACAATATTATGTGTCATAACAACAATCACAATATAATATTTCCAAGCTATATAAGAAGGCGTTTTTAATCTGAAATGGAGAAAACAGATAGGATAATGAGAGACTGCAACCTTCGCAAGGCCAAAATCTGCAAGTTTCACCAAGCCATTTGCACCCACCAATATATTTGCACACTTAATATCTCTGAAACAGGAGAGGTAAATAAATGAGATCTTAGCGTTACAGAATCAGCTGGCATGAATGAAGCATATCTAAACATATGCTAATTTTAAAGCATGAATGAGGAAGAGGAGAAGAGGAGAAGGAACGCTTGAAAAGTATATATTACTAATTATCAAATGATCAGTCTTTCTTCATCACCCACTTACAAAACTTCCATTTTTTAGTTTTCTTGCTTGTTAAGATTAAAGTGCAACCTAAATACAAGTAATTCCACAATTAAGAGAGACATCATTAATAAAAAACAGTGTCCTAACACAAAGTTCTCTAGTTCTGTAATAAAAACCTTTGACTAAAATGCTTTTGTATTACTCGACTCCATTTTCCTGGAGACAGTTCAATTAGCTAACAAATTCTACAAAGTTTTATTTGAAAATATAAAACAAAATCATCACTTGACTTCAAGGACAATTTCAAGCATGATACTAGTCAATTCAATATAACATGCTAAAGGAAGAACACGATTTGATCAGTTTCCAAGAAAAGGCAATTTAGAAGTAACACATTTTGGAAAATATTAAACTGTTTTTAACTACGATCAACTGCCAATTTGGAACCATATAATCATGTTTGACTAAGTCCCCATAGAAAGTAAACTTCTAAGCTTAGATAGACATGTTTGAAGCTCTAAAATTTGCATTTTCGCCAGATACTCTTTTTTTAGAATTTTTAAACAGAAAAGTGTTTCCGTACTTTTTAAAGAGTAACATAGCATTTTTCTTTAGCCTTAGCAAAACATGCACATAGCTGGTGATTCTTACCAAGTTTAGAGAAAGAAATCTGCACAAGGTTAAAGATAAAAGTTCATGAAATTAAAACATTGATAAAGTTGTGGTCTCATGAGTGATTAAAATTAAAGTTTGACCAGTTGATAAAACTTTTGCTAATTTTTTATCAAACAACGTGATAATGTATATATTATATTTTAATACAAAACCAGTTTTTTTGGAACAGAGAAAAAATAAATAAATAAATAAAATCACTAAAAGCATAAAAACCAGAAATACAGAGTTGTTTGGTTCAATCACCTGTGGATCACATTTTTGTCATGCAGATACTTCAAGCCATGTAAAATCTGTCTAGTATAAGCGGAGACCTGCGAATCTCGGAGGTTGTACTTCTGGTAAAGGCTCAGAAGGGATCCTTTAGTAACCAGCTCAAGGAAGATGTAAAGATGTGATTCAACCTACAGAAAAAAAAAATGTAAAAAAAAAAAGATTTCTAATAAAATTTGACACAGAATATACTTCAGGAAAATTAAGATGTGAAGGAAAAACTGAGGGAAGAAAAAAAAATGTTAAGCTCAGTGGAAGGTTCAATTTCAGTGAGCTTCAATTCTGTCAACGAAATACAATTAGTGGACAACACAAAAAACTTCTCTATACCTAGTACTTCAAGTTCTACTATCTCTGTGAATAAAATCCAGGAATCTTGCAAAAGAGGCCTCTCTATTGCAAAAGGAGAAGTATGGAATCTTATAATAGTGCCACCGAAGTTGAAGAAACAAATATCAGGTGGAAATTAATGCTAAAAGCAAGAAACGCCTATCCTCCACCTCCACCCAAAAAATATAATAAAGAATATGAATAGTTAATTTGCAAGACGGTATTACCTTCTGCGTACCATAATACTGGACAATATTCTCGTGTTCAAACTGACTTAGAAGAGCAATTTCCTGAATGGGTCAAAAGAAAATGCATATTAAAGAACTGAGGAGTTGGGGAAAAAGGAAGAGAGTTTTAACACCAAATAATTAACAGAGCCACTGAGAGAGTGAATCTAGAAGCAGGTGCGAAGTCAAGTGAACAAATAAGCAAATCTCTGGTAGCTAAACCTGTTCAAGTTGGATGATCCTTTGTTTTCCTTCATCCCCTTGATCAAGCAAAGATACTTCCTTCACAGCAAAAAAGAATCCATCACTGCAGAAAAAGCAGATATACAAAAAGGTTTAGCATATTATAGAAAATACATTCCATCCAAGTTTGTGGTACTCAAGATCAAGTGCATTGCTTTTTTAAAATATGATTATTTCAGTAGAGAACTGTGCAACGATATTACAGGATGAGTGAACTTATCTTCTCTTAATTATTGAAAGGTTCCTTTCTCTATATTTTAGTTCTTTTCAACACCATGCTTTGGATCTTTTACCGCAAATAAATGAAAGAAAATATCCACTATAGAGAATACATTTGAAAGATCTATTGTCTGAACAAATAGTTCTTTAAAAGCAACCATTATCTGGATCAGTTAGAATCCACTGAACCACTCTTTATCTCCCCTTTATCGTGGAAGCAACCAATCCATTGCAAGGAAAGAAATCTTCCAAACTAAAAACTTGTCTTTCTTAATTGATAAAGTATTAACTTCACGATTTTACTGAAAAGTGAACATCACATTAACAGAATTTCATAGTTTCATTGTTTGATGAACAATTCTTTAGATTTTTTACCGCCAAAATAAATAAGAAATAGGAGTTCAGAAGATTTTATGCAGTCAATAAACATTAAGCCCATGTTTGTCGCCCATTCTTTTATATATCTTTTTTCTACGTACTCATTTTCAACCATACATCTACATAATAAAATATTCTACACATAGAACCAAATCTTTTCGCTACTTTCTAACCACTTATACTCCAAAAATTCACCATTCAAAACTATTTTTTTCAAAAAAAAAAGGCCACGAAACAGGGGCTAAGTAAGAATAGGAGTTCAAAATTTTAAAAATAAGAGGATACTATAAATACGGATCCATGCTCAACAATTTCATTGCAAGTTAGCACCCAGGAGAATGTGTGAAAAGAAGTTGCACTTACTCGGCAATTCCTTCATAAACAGATCCAAAAGATCCACGACCCAAGAGATCCCCTTTCTGCCAGTCCACAATAATGCGTTTAAATCTCCCATTGGGTGACACAAAGGATGTTGGTTCTGTAGTGCTACTTGAAGAATCATCATCATTTGAAGTTGTGGTAAATGAACATGACCCAGATAACACACCATTTTCTTCTCTCATCATTATCCTTCTCTTCCTCCTATAATTCTCCTCGTCCTCATCCCTCCTCCCACCAACTACTTCAGTCTCTTGTTCGTTCTCTTCTGAACCAAACCCTCTTTCAAACCTTGAAAAGCTTTTATCACTGTCTGGTGCAAATGATTTCAAAATATCCCAAGTTGAGCACTCATTGTCGATCACGGGCAATGACATTGAAGGTGGAGGTGCCAGAACTGGTGGCCTCACACCCTTAATACCATTTGTACATATTTCCCCCAATTTACCATCGCTGAAAACTAGATTACTTATCCTTGCACTATTCTCTAGCCTCTTTGATAATTCACATAGACCATCATCACCACCTCTACTAACAATACTAAAACTACTACCCCTACCGCTATTTGAAAATACCAAACCTTCAATTCCATTACACTCGAATTTTGGATTAATTACCTCAACAACCTTATTACAACTAGGACCGGAAATTTCAATTACATTACTAATACAATCCTCGATTTTCTGATTTGTTGAATTCAAAATACTACCACTGGAAAGAATATTACCGTCAATGTCCTCATTTTTCTGACTAGTTAAACTAGGAGCAACAGAGGATCTGATCTTCATAGCCTCATATTCCTCAATAGGTATCCCGAAATCGTCAATTCCAGAAAATCCCAGCGTTTGACACATAAATTCAAACTGCCCATCAATCCCTTCGACTCGTAAGCTCATTTGGCCGCTGTACAAATCCCGCGACCGCCCTCGTAAAGATTCCTCCGACGAACACGATGCCGATAGTGCAGAAGTCGAGGAAGTTGATGGCAGGTATTCATAGTCAATGTTTTTCACGGCGTTTAGCCGCTCGAGTCTCGGAATCGGCTTCGCAGCTAGGCGGCTTGGACTGGAACTTGAGCTTGTGCTAGAGGTGGAGCCAGATTTCGAGCGGGTTTTGCGACGCTCAGAACTATGTGAGAAGATTTTTGGTATGCGATGCATTGTGATGATTGAGAGTCAAATCCATGAATTGAAACACGAATTCCAAGCTTATTTGGAGTACGAAAAATAGCAAAAATATCAGAAAATTCGTTCCTTTTTCTTTCCAATTTTGGAATCCAATTACAGGGTCTTGTAGTGCGTGAGATTATCGTTTAGGGTTTACGAAATTCGCGTTTCTGTGCGTATATCAGAAAATTGGGGAAAAGGAAAATCTATTGGTGAAGGAGAGGCGTCGGAGGAGAAAACGCGGAACCATCTTGGATTGCTGACTAGACTTTGAATGTCTTGTTTGGCGACTTCATTTCCTTTTTATTCTTTTTAATTTTCTTAACGATTGTCAAAATAACATGTTTGCCCGTAATATAAATTTTTTCAGAATAAATTTTACGAAAAATAATTTTTTAAAAAATATATATATAATTAAACAGTAGGAAAAAATAATGATTTCTCGAAAAAATATATGGTAAAAAATGAATTTAAAAGGAATCTATTCTAAACATGGACACAATATTTAAGATATTTTCCAAACTTGATAGTGAGACTAAGTTTTGACGCTTTCTCAAATTATAAAAGAATTAAATATGTGTTGACAAAGAACATACATGTCAAGTCATAGAAGAATTTTACGAGAAAGTCTTTCTCTAATTTTTTTTTTTTAATTAAATAAAACAATTTAAAAAAATTATTCACATATGTTCTAAAATAAACTCTTAGGCCATGTTTGATTCAACATATTTTCCATCAAATGTGGCGTTTGATAGCAAACATTTCCTTGTAAATCATTTTCCCACCCAACCCCGTCACGCGCCTGTTTTCTTGATTTTCAAGGAAATGGTTTTCTTGTTTTTTTTTGTGGTAAAAGTTTTTCCAGCTTTTTTTTTTTGGCAATGGAAATAAATTTTATAAACAATTGTATTTTTGTTGTAAAAGTTTTTCCAGCTTTTTTTTTTTGGCAATGGAAATAAATTTTATAAACAATTGTAAAAAAAAAAAAAAAAAAATCATTTTAATGGACAATTTTCATGTAAAACGAAACAAAATGAATAGTGAAAAAATAGTTTTCGAGCAAACTTTTTTTTTTTTACTTTTTAGCAATGATAACAAATTTCATAACCAATTGTAAACATAAAAAAATTCACTTTAATGAATAATTTTCATGTAAAATAAAGTCAAACGTTAACAAAAAGATTCAAAAATTTAACATTTTTCGGGTGGAAAATTATTTCAATCAAACACATTTAATTAATAATTGCCTAAAAAACAAGTTCTAGGCAATTATTTTATCTGAAATTCATTTTCTTTCTGCCTATTCGATCAAATGGACCCATAATTTTAAAAAGAAACTTTTGTTTTTTTCAAAGGCAATACCAAATTTGCCCTTAGTATTTCCCCATATAAATGCATAAACATCATATCATTTTCAATTTTCACACAAAAAATTCCTTCAGTAACTCCTCCCTGCATCCCCCAACCCACTCCTCTGGTTCTATATTTATCCTAATTTTCACATATTACACAATTTTGGCAATACCCATTCTGAATCTTCATACCACCTTCTGGCTGTAGAGACTACATTTTCTCTAACATCTCACATTAGACATCCACAATTTCTCGCGTGTATTAATTAATATAAGCTTTCTCCGGAATTGCATTAGTGCCGTATAATTTATTCCTATAAATTAGTGTGGCGGTTATTGAAGCGGTTTGCGTTTTTGGATCCCTTTTTCGGTTATACTTTAATGTAGTTGAATTATCTCTTCCCTGTTAACCCTTTTCACATTGGATATGCAGTTTATTTGAATTTTTGGCTGTAGAAAAGTAGGTTTTGCAAAACATTAGTTTTATTAGGTAATTTGAGTTAAAAGGGTTTGGTTTTGTGCGTTCCCCCACGCTTTTTTTCCATGGTTGTCAGTTATTTACTGGTCTATAAACGTTTGATTTTGTGAGAGAACGACTGTCTTTTGCACTGTTGGTGTGGTTGGTTCTAGGGTTTCTTGAGTAGAGACTCTGCTTTTATCCATCTGGAAGTTGATATTCTTGGGTGATTCTGTAGTTTTTTACTGAAAGGATTCTGAAGAATTATAGAAGAAAGGAAATTTTAAATTTGAGTGGCGACGAATGCAAAGTGCATTGGACTGTATTAGGACATTTTCATTTACATAAGCGGTGAGAAAAAAATGGTGTTCTAGGGGTCATTGACACCCCATTGAGGACAGGGAACAGCATTTTTGGATAGAATTGGTTAAGAAGAAACAAAACATTTCTGGACGAGGTATAATCAAGGCATTGAAAGAACGTGAATAGAATTAAGTGTTTTCTTCTAGGGTAATTTGATCATGCTAAGTATTGATGGAAAGAAGTGAACCCACTTTAGCTCCTGAATGGTTGAGATGCACAGGAAGCTTTGTTGGTGGTGCCTCAATCCACAATTCAGGTACTATATATATATATATTTTTCTGTCTTATCCATTCACCATCTCGTTTTCCATACAATCATCCATGTTGAGATTGTGATGAATTTTTGTCATTTTATTACAGATGTTTCTTCACCCTCGCACACCCTGCGAAACAGATCTTCTAGGAGCATTACTGATAAGGATAGCCCACGGTTTTTGGATAGGAAGTCATCTTTCAATTCTAGGGTCAGTTCAATTAGTAATGGTTCTGCGAAGCATCCATACAGCAGTTTTACAAGGACTCGCCATGACAAAACCCGAGAAAGAGAAAAAGAAAAATCTCTAATTGGGGACATCTATAGTGATCATTCTGATCCAGTGGGAAGTGTAATAACAAGCAGAGTTGAGAAGAGTACCTTGTGTCTTTCTCAATCATCGGTTTCAAGGAAGTCTGGTGACGTTTTGCTTCCCAGAGTAGAGAACTTGAAAACTAGTGCTACTCAAAATAATGGTTTTGGGAGTAGTAATATCAGGAGAACCCAGAAGGCTGCTTTTGAAAAGGATTTTCCAGCACTTGGAACTGAAGATAAGCAAACGGTGACTGGATTTAGTAGAGTAGGATCCCATGGTCTGAGCTCTTCTGTTCAAAATTTACCTATTTGCAACTCAGGGTTGCTTGGTGGTGAGAAATGGACTTCCGCTTTGGCAGAGGTGCCTGCTATTCTTGCCACCAATGGCATTTGTCACTCAGCTGTTCAGCAAAGTGCCAGCATGATTTCGACTCCATTGTATGCAGCTTCTAGTTCATCAATTCTTAACATGGCTGAAGCATTGTCACAGGCCCCAGCACAAGTACGTGCTGCTACTCAGGTACATAATTTATTTTTCTAATTACGTATTTGAGCAGTTATTTGGTGATGTTGAAAACAGATTTGTTGTGTTCATGTTTTGTTAATACATCATGCAGCCACCTGATAAGAACCAGAGGCTTGAAGAATTGGCAATTAAACAGTCCAGGCAATTGATACCTATGACACCCTCGACTCCTAAACCTCTGGTAAGAGGAATTTTTTTATTGCATACTTGTATTCTGTGTCTTCCTTCTTTCTGGGTTATTTTAAGTGGGTTATTTCACTTCATGGATACTCTTTGAACTGCTGTTCCCACCCTAAAAATAAAAAAACTTAAATCAATATATATAGACATTTGAAGGTCTATGTTTGGTTTTATTTTCTTGTACTTCTGTGCTAGATGAAGAGCTCAACTTATTTTCTGAACTGATAGACCAAGATTGTCTATGCAAATAGAAAAAATACAATAATGAGGTTAAAGAAAATGCTTTACTGGATAAGAAACTAAAGTGTTTTATCATTGGTGCTCTGCACATTGTCCATTATGTACTTGCAAAAAATTGCGTTTGTAATACTAATCCATTTGCTAGATCTGAGGTTGTTTTCTTTTGTTCCCTTTCACTTGCGGAGTAATTTTTGCCCTAATTATCTTAGATTAGTATATACCAGTTTTCTTGGGACATATCCTATCCCTACTCACATTCGTAAGGCCATCTGGATTCTGAGTCAGGGTACACAAATGTTTTCGAAATTTTAATACGTTGGAGTTAATATTTAATGCACGAAGTGCCATCTGGATTCTGAGTCAGGGTACACAAATGTTTTCGAAATTTTAATACGTTGGAGTTAATATTTAATGCACGAAGTTGTGACATTTATTCATCTGCAGTAATATTTTATCGTCCCTCAGTTGTTCCATCAATGTTTGGAACAATGTTCTTAGATGAGTAAGGATATTAACATTTTTATTTCCTGATATGTAGAATAAGGATGCTGAATATATTAAATTTAAACATTCTTCTCAGGCTCCTAATTCCATTGATAAATCAAAACAGTCAAAGCCTGCAGCTAGAACAAATGACATGATTGTGGCTTCCAAAGGTGTCCACCAGCAATCCCATTCATCTCAGTTTTCTATTCAGTCTCGTGTTGCTCAAGTCAGATCTGATGCTCCAAATAACTCTCATGCCGTAAAGTTTCTGGTTCTGAAATCAGGACGTGGGAATAGTGTCACCTCCGTCGTGAAGGATGCATTCAGTCCGACTGGTAAAGCCAATCGCATAGTAGCTAACGGCCAGGCAACTGCTTCAATAATTCCAACTGCATCGAAGAGTTCAAACAATGCTGTGGTTTCTGCTCTTGAAAGCAAGGTTGCTGCCCTCTCTCTAAATTCCAGATTGGCTGTCGATAAGAGGCCATCCCAAACTCCATCACAAAGCAGAAGTAATTTTTTTAATCTCATGCGAAGAAAAAACTCTTCCAACGCATCTGCCATTCTATCAGATTCAACTTTGGCTATTTCATCTCACAATACAGATACATCTGGTGATATATTCAAAGAAGGCCATGAGCCAGTATGTTCTCATGTTATGGAAAATGGTAATGATATAAGCTGTAACGTTGATGCTTATGACACTCCGGAGAAGACTCAAACAATATCTCATGTCGGAGAGAACAAATGTCCAAATGGAGCAATTTATCCGGATGAAGAAGAGGCTGCATTCCTTCGTTCTCTTGGTTGGGATGAAAATGGTGGGGAAGATGAAGGCCTCACTGAGGAGGAGATCAATGCTTTTTATCAGGAGGTACTCTTGCTTAATCTTTACTGTTCTATATGTTTTGTATTTTATTGGACTCGTTGTAGTCAATCATTACCTTAAGTTTTGTCTGTTGTTTGGAGTTGATGCATGTAGGTTAAAAGCTTCTGAATGAATAGCATTTTTCAACTGGGAGAAACGTCTGTGATTAACAGTTCCCCCACTCCCTAAGTGAATAAAATTTTGCCCTGTTGCATTTATGTTGTTCCCTTTGTATAGACTTGGGAACCTTTCTTACAGGAGGTAAAAAAATTGAAAAAAGTAACAAAGAAAACGGAAAAGCAAAACTTAACCCTTCGCATCAGCTACATTTCGATCCAGGAACTTATGCATGGTGATCACTTTTTGCCCGTATAGTTGATAAAAGGAATGTTTCTATCTAATTTTATTTCTGTTTCTCTCTCCACAGTACATGAATAGGAGGTCAGCCCTGCACGACGCTGTCTGAACTTCGTGCTGCTGTTCCAGGCATTTATCGCGTCGAATCAACTATTGATGTCAAAGTACTTTGGAACTACAGTGTTCTTGGCAGACTTTCCATTTCTATGTTCTTTTTTTTATTTTGGATAGAAAGACATAAAATAAAATTCTAACCTGCTTGAGCATGTTGCAAAAAAAGAGGCTAGGGATTGCACTTGGCTCATCTTTTTGACATATTTATCCTTTACCTTAAAGAAATCAATACAAAGGTAGGTTTATGTATTTTTCTGGTCAATTTTATGGGATGAAAAGAAATCGGAATATTTGTCATGGTTTTACCTTCTGTTTTTAACTTTTCACCCGACCCATCTCTCTTCATTTAGTAGTTTGTCTTTGATGATTTATATGTCAATTGTATTTTTAAGCTTGCACAGAAAGATTGTTGAATTGAAAGTTCTCGTGTTACTAATCCCAAATTTACTGATAATAAGGCTTAATTTGTTGTTACTGGTGGGACAGAGAAAAATTGCAGCACCAATTTGCATTCTTCGAGTCATGTTTGGTCAAAGTTGACGAGTGCTTATGAATGAATGACAATATTTCACTGGATATTATGCTTCGACTTCTTCATGTATAAAAGACACATGTACAGAGCGGGATCAAACTGTAATCCTGTTTAAAATACCAAAGAGACCGATACATGGTTTAACAGTTCGCAGCAATGAAGGAGAGTTTTGCATGTACCAAGTTATTCTGAATTACAAGTCCAATACATCAGACCACTGCACAAAAATTCAGAGTGCAAAAGAAGAATATCATAAATTTGAACAGTAAAGCAAGACATTCGATATAAATCTACTTAAATTCCATACTTGCATTGCTAAATCACTTGCTATTTGTTTTTCCCAACAAATAATTTGGATCTACTAATTTCATCACGTTATCATTCTTAGATGGCTATCATGGACCTACTCACTTTGGACCTTTCAATGGATAAAATACGTAATCATAAAGAATATAAAGAGCAGAAAATCTATAAGATCGACCATGAACTTGGAAAATATCAGATCAATTTCTTTCCCCCCACCCTCCGAACATTAAGCATCACTACTAAATATGAACAGAAAAGGTCGAGGGCGACTATGGTAACTTCCAATCAAACTAAAAAGGGTTACCTTATTAATACAAACACACATTGAAGAACACCAGCAACTCCTGTCCATGCTGAAGGGCCAGTTTTCACAAGAGCGTCTTGTATCAGTAGGCCCACCGAAGCTGCCAATGAAATGAAGGATACAATGTATGCAATGAAAAGCCAAAGTTTCCCCCTGCAATTTAAGAAACAGGAAAACAGACACAGGAATACAATCATTTACACTTTCGAGCAAATGATTTTAAGGATTTGTTAAAGGGATTCAGTTCACTCACATCATTGAAGAGGGGGAGAACAGATAGAATTAGCAAATTCCCAAGAATTACAAAATACGCATGTTTAGCTGCCAGATTTCATTGACATCATGTGCTAGGAAGTTAAACTCATTGGGATATGCATGTACTAGAAAGTTACTCATTGGGATATTCATGAGCTTAGAATAGAAATTTGTATTTCATTTTAAAATCACCTGAACAAGAAACTTTCTTACCACAAGAAGGACGATTAAAATTTGGCGTTCTCCTTATTTTTTTTAATTAAAGGCAAGGATGAATATAAAACAACGTTCTTAACATCCACTTCCACTACTCAAACCAATATGGTTCAATTTATCAAAAACACATGGGACGAAATCACAATAAAACCCAGGTGCGCACTGTCACCGAGCATTCTAAAAATGAAATTAAAACATTGTTGTCACTAGATGCAAAATAGTTGCACATTTGGCTTTGCTTCCTTATATAGAAATAGCAACTTTTTTCCAAAATTTGGCTAAAAATCTGTGCTCTTCGCAGTCTTATAGCCTAAAGGAGCAAGCTTTTGGCTACTTCTTAGCATTTCAGCTAAAGCCAAACATGCTCTAGGAAGGTTATTGATGCAACTAACATAAACTAAAACCAATGACGCAGAAAACTGTCTTCCACGTTTGCTAATTAATCAGCATATACAATCTACTCAAGATACAAAATTCAACATGAACTCCTAACTATACGCGAGTATACAATAATTGCTAATGCTACTAACCTCCATTCGCCCTCGTCATACGGGGAGTAGTGATCAATAATGTCATCTTTCTTAACGGAATTGAACATCAAAGCAGCCAAAGACGCAAATATTCCTGCAAAACAAAACGCGTTAAAATCAAAACGCTAAATTCAATTAATTAAAGAAAAAAGTCAGGCACGTGCCTGGAAGGTAGTGGACGAAGGGAACTTTAACCGAGCTACAAAAGACAGCATCGACCCAGAACCACCAACCGGCGCCAAAGACTGCACCGGCGACTCCAGGCCCGAATATGGTCCACAACTCAGCTAAATCCATTTATAATGATCTTATTTTCCAAACGGAAATTGTTAATCTCGGATTCGATCGAAAAGGAATTGTTTGAATTTGGGGATCGATTTGATTTGATTTGATTTGATTGATTCGAGATTGCCCTAGAAGTGTAGTATGTATATTTCGTTTCGAAAAAGCTTTTGTTAATATATCGCATTAAACAATAAGACCAAGTTCTATTTTTTACCGTTTTGACAAATTTAAAAGAAAGGGAAATTACAAAAATCAAGCATTTAATGGCATGTTTGTGAATGATTTTAATCCAATTAAAATTGAAAATATAGCAGTTATTGGGTCTCATCCGTTTAATAAAAGTCAACAATAACGACTAATTTTTAATTTTTAATCCTTCCCAAAAACAGGGCACTACCATCACCGTTCTTCTCTCTACCTCCCTACACTGAAAGAGAGGATGAGGGGTTCTCGAGTTAATTGTTTCAACGGTCACTGAATTTTACAAAGTATTACATTTCACTAATTGAACTTTAAGTTGCATCTCATCACTCATTGAACTTAGTAAAGTTGCACTCCATCCATCACCGGGCTAATTCCGTCAAAACCCGTTGCCTACGTGAATGACGGTTTGCACACGTGGCCGTTAAATTAATCCAGTTGTCCAAGTTAATTGTTTCAACGGTCACTGAACTTTACAAATTGTCACATTTCACTAACTGAACTTTAAGTTACATCACATTAATCACCGAACTTAGTAAAGTTGCATTCTATCCATCACCGGGCTAATTCCGTCAAAATCGGTTGCCTACGTGGATGACGATTTGCACACGTGGCAATTAAATTACTCCAGCTGACCATTAATCAGCCATGTCATAAATTCACAATACCCAAACACGTCTCGATCTCTGAATTCTGCCTCTGGATTTGAGATTTTCACTTTGGCTACATGAATATATAGAAACGGCATTTGATCCAGCAAATCAAAAGCCATTTGCCCATTGGAATTAGAGATTTTACGAAACAATTTTGATTCAATGTCAATATTCTTCAAATTTTCGGCAACAATTGACATTGAATCAAAATTGTTTGATTTGGTGGATCAATTGTTTCAGAAAATTTGTACAAAATCCTCACAAAGGTACAATTTAGTATTGAATTATAACCTCTGTTAACCTGCTAGCCAGAATGTGGATTTGTTGAGTTGTCGATGAAATTGATATTTTTCATATGTATATATCCATCGAGGAGGTCAATCCACGCGATTTCGACATGGGTCTGACGGCAGTTGTCGAAGATAAAGGAGTTTTTTATGGTGGTTAGCAGCATGGTGGGGCTGGTGCTTCTCCACTCCGTGTTTTGTTGAACATCATGATAACCTTTTTTTTAGCTGATGAGGTCGTTTACTGTCTCGTAAGCTTCGGGGACTTAGTTAGGGGAACTCTAGAATGTTAATTTTGTGAATTTTATTAGAGCTTCTTCTGCTCTATTTGAATCAATCTTTGGTTGATTGTAGTGTCTGAAAATAGGGTTGCTTATATTCACTAGAATAGAATTAGCTAAAAAAATATTCACTCGGATCTCAATCTTCTGGCCAACAATATAGCTAAAAAATATTTACTAGAATCTCAATCTTCAGGCCAACAATCTCATTATAAATGAGTTATAGGTTGCAATTTAGCCCATGTTTGAGCCCCATTCTTTCTCATTTTTTCCCATTCATTTTTCTACAGTACTCATTTTTAACCACACATTCTCCAAATAAAATAATATTACACATAAACCCAAAAATTCTTCTTACTTTTTAACCACACATTCTTTACATCAATCACTATTCAAAAACTCATTCTTCAAAATAATGGGTGTCAAACGGGATGCAATTTAGCCCATGTTTGAGCCCCATTCTTTCTCATTTTTTCCCATTCATTTTTCTACAGTACTCATTTTTAACCACACATTCTCCAAATAAAATAATATTACACACAAATCTAAAACTTTTTATCATTTTTTCACCACACATTCTCCGATCAATCACTATTCAAAAGCTAATTCTTCCTAAAAAATTGGGGCCAGACACCCGCTTAATCATTCTAACTCATAGCCACTTCTTGTGAAGGGTGTTGCTCATTTTATTTTTTTAATACGATAATACTTGGAAGAAACTTAGCTGGCTTTCTTTGATGCTTTTGATTGTCAGAAAGTGTTTAATTTATGATGTTTTTGAATCAAAGTTCACCTTCTTGGGATGTCAAAATCGAAGCTCAAATAAACTTCTGTTAACTGCAATTTACAGTAAAACAGAGATATAAAAAGGAAGAAAATTAAATGTGAAATTAATTTACTTTATTTGAAGTTCTAATTGATTTGTGGATAATCCATTTATTACAGTTAGTTTTAGAGGAGTTATCTGAAATGGCTTAACTATGAGAGACGAAGTTGGAAAGACATTTACTTTGTGATACAAGAAAGTGTCGTCTTTCATCTACTCAATTATTTTTGTCTAAAATGTTGTGGAATTGATCGTTGTAGTGGTGTGGTCTCCATTGGGTTAGGTTTTTGAAAGAAATTCGTTCTTTCAATTGATTCTTGATGGGTTGGTGTAAAAAAATTCCGTTCTCTTCACCGAGTCTTCTTTAAATTTTGTTCTTTTCACCGAATCTTCTTTTTCTTGCTAAAATGTATTTTGCCTGAAGTGTTTCTATTTTTTGGGGTCGAAGATTTGTCATTTTAGACTTCTATGTTGTTTGGGTCAATTGTCTATAATCAGTTTAGTCCGTAAATTCGTAATAGGTTGTTTGTAGCTCTTTTCAATTTTTGTTGCTATATATATATATATGCAAATAGTTAAGTTGAGGAGTTATTTGGCTCTTGGGGACCTCCATAAATTCATTGAACAACATAGGTAAAAGCTCTCAATTTTTTCTTTTTTCATTTTTCTTTCTTTTTTTACACATTCTCTAATTCAATCTTCCATTCATATGTAGCTATGCCCCAATTTGGCCCCATTATTTGATATTTTAATTTTTGAAATAGTGTTTTTTTTGGACAACGTGAGATTGAAAAAGAAGAAATTTTTTTTATTTATATGTAATGTTATTTTATTGAAAAATGTCTCGTTAAAAAAAAAGAGAGAAAAAAATATTATAAATTAATGGGGGCCAAACGGGGCCTATATATGTATATATTTCTTGAAGTATCACTGTTCTGATGAATTCCAGATTGAGTTTGTGTGTGTGTGAATATTTTGATGATTTTGAAGATATTATTTTCTGGCATTTTCATTGGTTTAAATTTCTGGACCAATAGGAACATTTTTTATTTTTTTAACATTAATTATTGAACACCGTAAACAATTTTGTGCCCTGGATTTTTCTTCTTTACTGCAACTTGTTTTCCTTTTTGTAGAGAAAAGGATCAAGATTTTACTCTGGGTATAAATAACCATTTGAATTAATGAAAACGATTGTAATTCTTATTAATTTTCCGTCGTAGTTATTTATTTGTATATACCTGTAACTGTTTTTTTGGATAATTGGGTATGTGTTTCTGAGGACAATTATGTTAAAACTTAAAAATGATAAACTATTCAAAGTCCCTTCATATTTAATTTATATTTTTTGAGTTTTCCTTCATCTAATTCTATGTTGGAGAGTTATTACTGAAATTAGACATGGATAGTGAGGTCCCTTTTCTATTTATGGACAATTCATATGATAAAATTTTATGTTTAGGTTGTATTTAACTCATTCCCAATGTAATGCTGATGTGACTATCTTTTTGGGTTAAGAGGGAAATGCTTAATACACTGCACATTGCATTTGATTGTGGACATATTCTATATTTATTAACTGCAAATGCAAACACAAATTGCTTCACAAGTTCATATTTTTTTTATTTTTGCTCTAATCCTGTGCTTATTTGATGAATTTAGAGCAGTAAGGATCAAAATTACCCCTTTAGGAACTCAAAGAATCTGATGTGTTGAAAGATGATTATAAAATCACTTGACATTTAAATCTGAACTTGATAGTTGATGATTCTTATTGATGATATAAACAACTTATCTTCACATGCTTGTGTAAAAGCACCTGCTTTTTGGACGTGATGAACATATATTCTATTTTATATTTTGTTATTATAGGCAAATCTGCTGGAATAAGTAATTCACCAATATCATGTTTAGTACATGAAATAAGAACCTTTTCTTTCTTCAGAAAGTGATTGAAGATACTATTGTAGCTTACAACGGACAGGAAGTACTTTAAACATCCTAACTTTTAGTTCATTTCGTATAAGGCTTCAAACATTCACTATTTCACAAGAAAAATTTTGTGCATATTTAAAGCATATGGTGGAATGTGAATATTGCCTCAGGGAACCCGTTCTTTTGCATTTGATTTTTATGCCAAAGACTAGATGTAGATAATCTCAAATAATATCTGTACTAAATAGACTTCAAGTTGCTATACACCCGCTTTGATCCTGCACCATCACCATATACATCATTCGTTAATGAAAACAATGGTTTCTAATTATCATGACCGCTCAATGGATTCTTATTATGTGGTTTGATGCCACCCTCTCTTGTACTCCTAAGGTTTTATATCTATCATTTCATACCTTCGTAATCTTTTGTTTATGGATTTCCAAATTTACTGGGGTAGTATATATTTTATGCTTATGACTTCTAGACCTGTCTACAGATTAATGAATATATATCAGTCAAAGGGTGTTCCTACCTGAAGCTTAGTTCATAGTATTCCATTAGTTTGCATTTAGCCATTACACTATGGTGCCTGCTTGGTAACTTGGCTGACTATTGCACACAAAAATATTGACTTCCCAAATATCTTCCAGATTCTTCATCTGATGGTATGTACTTTATACA